AAGGTCGGCCTGGGTTCTTACTCCCAGTGCTTCTGGTTTCTTTGCGTCTGGTTTCTTACACATAGCATACCCTCCGGCTCCTTTTCTTTTTCTTGAAAAATGTACTGAAGAAATGGGGCTAAATGGTTATATGTTCCATAGACTTTGCCATGGTCTGAATTTTGCTGGATCTCCTGTGGTATGGTTTAACATGTTCCTCTGCCTGCCTCATGTCTCTCAAATTGCTAGTTAGTGCTAAAGGTTTGATCAGAGTTGGGTTGCTTCTTTGCTTTCTGTCACAGAGACTCGGTGGGTGACATTTTGTGCCTCCCGTGGGAGGACCGTGATGGCTCATCTTTGGGGCCCGTGTTGAGCCCTTCTGATGCAGTGCCAGGAACCACTGACGGCTTTCTCACTCTAGTACAACCAGACGTTCCGGGCTCATGCTGTGCGTTTATGCTACAACTCTTATTTCCTTTTATCGGGGAAATACTTAGAGCACAGACACTGGGTACTAGGGTGCTCGTTATTTCTCGGCCATTTCAGGAGAAAGCTAATATGTCTGTGGAGATGCTTCGTCCTTGTTACTATTTGCTAATTGAATACATCAGTGAGTTTATAGTGACACTTTCAATAAAGAAAGGTGGGGTTTTTAATTAAACAACCCCGTTTTATCTTTTTTTAAGACTTTAAACTCTGTGTCCGTGTCCACAGCAGACAGTAAATACTCTGAGATGCAGACATAGCTAGTGTGTACTGAGGGTGCAGTCCTGACCCCGCACTTACGGCTGAGGCCTGGGTGGATCGCGCTGCTTGTCACCAGTGCTTACCTGCAAAATGGAGATGCCGTGAAGGTAAACTGAGTCGATGTATGGAAAGCAAGTAGGACTTAGAGGACTGCACACAGGCTGGCTCCCTCAGACACAGGCCATGATTGCATTTTTGTAACAAGTATTAGTATCTTCATCATAAAGGCTGTAATACATAGACAGAAGCATAGATTTGCTCACATGTGCACAACGAGATGGTAGAAGACGCAGTGGCTTACAGTTTCCACAAATTTGAGAACCAGTTTTTGTCTGACCAGGGCAGTGAGACTAATCCTGTCATTAATGTAGCAGGGGATAAAGTTTTCAGCTGAACAGAACTATCCAGCCTGCCTGAATGAACACTAGGCGAGGTGGGTGAAGGACTGCAGCTTGCAGTCATCACTCTCAGTTATCCTGTGTTATCTGGACACACTGACACCAGAGTGGTCATCTGAAGACCAGTTCACCAGAAGCCCAAGGTGTAGGCCGAAGCCTGGTTGGAAGGGCGCCATTGTGCCCATGAGACAGACTGGGTGGAGAGAAAGTGAGTGGTGCCTGGACATCTGTAGTGTCCCTGGCT